GGGGAAATATAGAGCTGGAAATTTTGAGTGCATGCTTGAACTTTTGGCCGAGTGTTACTTGGTATAATGTATTCTGATCAAATTGCCCAGCATGTTATTGGAATTTCAAATTTGTGCATGATTGTAACTTGTGTGAGAAAAGTGATAAAATGGGGCAATGGTGTCTTCATGTGTGTTGATTCTTTGAAGGAAGTGGGATTTTGTGAAATTGTAAAGAAATCGATGAGTCAATTCTTCATAGAATGATTGTTGAATAGTTGAATATTGATGGAAACTACTTTTATTAATATGGAATTGCAGAAAATATAAATGGAGTGAAGCTCCTTACAAGATAAAATGCAGAAAATTATCCCAGAAATCTCAACTCCCAGATATCCCCAATTTTCCCATAAGCCAATACTGAATACATGCATGAGTAAACCCCACCCCCAAATCACCCTATATAACAACATCTATCTCCTCTAACTAACTACTATGGACTCTTTTGCATTGCTGGACTTGGGCCCATTTGTCATAGCCCATCAATTCCCCTTCGAAGATTCACTTTGTCCTCAAGGTGAAGGGAGAGATCAGGATTTTTGCCACAAATTTCGAACAGGATCCCATTGCTTTAAAGATATTGACCCCATTGTGTATGACGTTGCAGAACTGCCATAGGGTTGCACTGTACCCATGTAAATTGCTGCACCTCTATTTTCCTCTAATGATTTGTTTCCTATTCTGTTTTTGGCCATAGAATTGTGCCTTGTTTTTTTGTCATTTCTGGCCACCAAACAGAGTGTTGAGACCGTGGAAGGAGATGAACCCACCCATGCGATTCTTGCTCCACCATTTTTTACCCATGCTCCTGACTTGTTATTTTTAAGTGTAAAACTAGTTCCTCTGTTTTGATCCATGAAGGTTTTGGCCCATGCTCCAATATTGTTACTAAACTAGATTTCATGTGTTGGTTAGAGCCTTTTTTGGGTCTTTCCAACCCCCACAGCTTTTGGGCTTGGCCCAGTAAGCAAATATTTTGACCCATTTGGCAAAGTTTCATTTCTTCCCTAATGTTGCTTACCTGAATCATCTTATGCTTGTGCTTGTCCCTAACAGGTTCGTCTACATCTTCTTGCTCTCCTTCTTCGTAATCTTGTGGCTCTTCTTCTTCTTCTTCTTCTTCTTCTTTCTCAGTTTCTGCTTCTGCCTTTTCTTTTTCTTTTTTGGTTTCTTTTTTTCCTTTTTCAACTATTGCATCTTCTTCTTTTTTCTCTTCGTCTTCTTTGTTTCCTCCTCCTTCTTTTTCATCTGTCTCTTCTGTAATTTTTTCAGCTTCTTCCTTTGAGTCTTCTTTATCCTCTCCTCCTCCTCCTTCTTATTTTTTTTCTGCGTCTTCTTCTTCCCTCCTCCTGCTCCTACTTCTGTTTCTTTGGGTTGCCCCTGGTCAAGCACGTCCGACCAGCAGCACGTCTTAGTCAGTGGTCTTCTCCGGTGAGCAGCAAAGTCGATGGCCTAAGCTCCTTGTTCCGCTGCGCCCACCACCGTATGTGGTCGTTGCCACTGTTCGCACACAACCTCCATGTTGGTTCCACAAATCTGACTTCGTGCGATTCTTCTTTTTCTGTTTTTTCTTCTTCCTCCTTTGGTTCTTCATTTTTTGGTTCTTCACAATGAAAACAGAGGTTCATTCTTCCCAAATCTGCCACCGCTTCTGCGTCGTCTTTTTCCGATTTTTGATCCACTTCTTCTACATCTTTTTTTTCTTTTTCCTCCTTTTTTTCCTATGTTGTTCAATACTTCAACCTCCTCTACCACACAGATCTCAGGTATATATCTCCTTATAAATGCTTTATCAAAGCTCCGCCAGCTTAGATGGTAACTGAGCTCACTCCAAAGTTTGTACCAACTGAGAGCATGACCTCTCAACCCCTTCACAGCTTCATACAACATATCAACTTCTTTAATTTGATTGCTTGAAAATGTTGTTCAAGCCCGAGCAACTATCACCAAACTTTAATTCCATCTTCATCTCCATAAAATTCTGGAATCGTTTTTTTTTTTTTGATCTAGATCAATGCTCTGACGATTTGAAGCTTTGATACCAAATTGATGGAACCTACTTTTATTAATATGGAATTGCAGAAAATATAAATGGAGCCAAGCTCCTTGCAAGATAAAATGCAGAAAATTAACCCAGAAATCTCAACTCCCAGAGATCCCAAATTTCCGCATAAGCCAATACTGATGAGTAAACCCCACCCCCAAATCACCATTAACAGCATCTATCTCCTCTAACTAACTACTATGGACTCCTTTGCATTGCTGGACTTGGGCTCATTTGTCATAGCCCATCAAATATACTTAGCATCTGTTTCTGCTATATTCTTGGACTGGGAAATAAGGGTGGAAGGATTGAAAAGGGGTAGGCTTAAGTTTTTCAAAACTTTCTGCAAAAACTCGATACATGGCTAACAGAAACACAGGAAATTGCTTTATTTCTTCAGAATGCTATGGTTATGATACCTTATGTATGTAATGGTTGATTTTTACCAGAATCAAAGAGAATTCAAGGTGAAATTGTATGTTTGTGGCAATGTCCAGAAGAGTGTTGACATTCCCTAGTTGACAATTGTAGGGGATGCCCTATAGTAATTGAGCTCATCACGTAGAGTCAACTAGACACGCAGAATAGCAATTAGTTTGTTTGGTTTTGTGTAATGACGACTTCATGCATACCATTATGTATTTGCCTTGAATATAGAGTATGATGTTATTTATTTTGCATAGATCTGTGTTAAATCCTAACACAACGCATGGTTTTCATACATAAGACATGGAGAATGCATAATTAAACATCAGCAAAAAATCACTTGGAGGTCTCCTTACCCATGATAAACGAAAATTATTGTTGCCCTTTACTTTTCCATATAATCAACATGCTCTTTTCTCTATTTATTTTTTCTTATTCTATTTTTTTATTATTGGGTTTTTATGAAATATTAAATAATATTCAGATATATATATATATATATATATATCTATCATGGTCTCATTTTTTTATAATACTTTGGGTGCTAGTGAAACTATTTTAGTTATATATATGTCTGCTGATATCTCATCCGCTATGAGACTTGTGAATTTCAGGTACAAGACTACAAAAAACTGACTTAAAAAGGGACCAAGGATCATAATTACTACCTTGAATGACGCTAGAATGAGGACTATTTTGGGGCTGCTATAGCTTTGTATTTATGTACATGTTTGGGGCTGTTTTAGCCTTGAAATTTCATGTATTTTGAGGCTGTTTTGTACATTATGAGACTGATGTTATTTGGTGATGTATGTGACACAGTTTCATGAGTTTAAGTGTATGTTTAACGGCAATCCTTTAAGTACTTATATGCTGGACAGCCTTGAATTTAAGAGGATTCTCTTTGAATTGGCCATGTATGTAAATGAGGAATGAATTTCTTATGGGATGAATGTATAAGTGTGTAATAATTGTCTTATTTCTGTTCTTGGACAACCTTGTATGCTAAATTTATTATCAGGTCAAAAGAGTTAAGAAAACCTCTAAGTTTTAGCATTAAGAACCATGCCTTGTGTGGGAATTATTAAATAAGATGCCACAAAAAATCAAACCCTCATTTGGATGCTTAGGAAGGAAGCCAAAACCTACACATAGTTGTGAGTATTAATAGGTTATTCAGGCTGCCACAGGATTGAGGTGCAGAATCCTCATCATTGGCCATAACCCGATATTTTCCTGAGTAAGTCCCAGTTCTTAATCGAGTAACTCGAGTAAATGGCTGTCAGCAGCCAAATTTAATCAAGTGAGGACCTTAAAATGAAGAGTCTGGCCTAAATGACATTAACTCAGTGTCCTAGTGCTAGATAAACCCCTAAAAGACCCTAATTGAATGACTAGTTAGCCAAGTTAACTCATTTCAAACCTTTAATCCATGGTATCTCTCAGAACTAGTGAACGTTGACCCAAATGTGCTTTCTGCACCAATTTTGGGTTGATGAATTAAAGGCTGTCTTAATCCCTCATAATTGAATTTTAGCCATGTATCATAAGAAAAATCAATTGGTAAACAATATTGATTATATCTGAATAAAATTGTAGTCATGTATCTGCATTTTTCTAGCCCAATCACCTAATTTTAATATGCAAACAGGCTAACCTGATAGGTTTGGCTCGATTTTACAACCATAGTTTCAATGATTGATACTAATTCATATAAAAAATCCAAATCACTGTAACAAAATGTCTTTTTCAAGTTTACAACATTGGCCCTGGACAGTTTAAACCAGAGATTAAATAATTACCCTCCTTATTCGGGAAACAATATAAAAACAAAAGAACATAAATAAATAAGAAATAGATGTAAAGAACCTTGAGGTCACCACCCCAAAAGCTAGCTCAGAAAAGCTAGCTCAAAGGGTGGGAGTGCCCAAGGTCTTATAAACTCCACATTCGTTGCTCATACAACCAATGTGGGACTATATATCTCAACACGCCCCCTCACACGAGAGCCCACTGGGCTTGAAAGGTGGACAATGCACAAGCTCATCTACCTGTGCGAACAAAGAAATTCCACTTAAAAGAAAGTGGGGGGCGGCAAGGATCGAACCCGGGACACGAGGCTCTGATACCAAGTAAAGAACCTTGAGGTAAAAAAGCTAGCTCAAAGGGTGGGAGTGCCCAAGACCTTATAAACTCTACATTAGTTGCACATACAACCAATGTGGGACTATATATCTCAACAATAGAAATAATTCAAAGCACAAGAATACTGGTTAGAATAGTATAGTAAAATGGACAAATTTTGTATAATGAATGGGGAAGCATAAAGTTTATTTGCTCGTAGGCATAAGGAATTGACTATTATTAGTATATCCATATATCAGTCAATAATCTATCTAATGTCCAAGGTTTCAAAAACCCCTGTTTCTAGAGTTTTCAAAAACTCCTTAATTGGATACCGAATCTGTATATAGTTTTCAGGTCATAATCCTTATAATTCGGACTCAAAACCAATATTCCAAAATCCTTCAGGGGTCATAGGGGGAACATACCTATATCGATGCCTAGAAACACCATCATGATGTTCACAGCGGAATTCCTGCTTACTGCTATCAGAGTCCTTACCATCAGCATTGGGAAGAACAGCATCATAGAACTTCTTGCATTGTTTACACTCAACTCCTTTCAAATTTTCACGCTCAGCTTTCTTCCTCACTGGTTCAACATACTTGAAACTCCTTTTGTTGGCCACCGTAATTGAAGATTGCTTCTTCTGGGGACTGCATTTAGCATTCAAATCCTGTGTTTCGTCATCTGAGCTGTTCGTGCTAATTTTTTTCTGAATCGGGCATGGAAGGTCTTCCTTATTTAAATTTTCTCTGATATTCTCAAGAGGAGTATCAAGAAAATCATCATGCGGGTCAGGACCTGCTCGACTTTGACGGGACCAGGTTTGTCTCCAGGAAGAGGCAGGCCTCTTTCTACCAGATACAGAGACTAATTTTGTACTGGATGGACATTTTGGGCTGCCATGGAAACTGGAAGGAGGAGGACTAAAATTGGCTCCTTTGTCATCATCCGATTCCTTCTCCTTCACTTTATTTGTGTCACACGGAGTAACAAACACATCAGGAGTTCTCTTTTCAAGGCCTGCGATAATAGGAAGTAGATGATGGATTAGTGAGGAACCTAAATTGTACACTTCACTATCTCAACGTAGCATTTAGCCAACAAAATATATGCATGTTATGAAATTCATACAGATCGATCAGAGTGAAGGTCACTTCATACAAGGCAGTGGAGGGGGGAAATTTCAGTCCTCCTTAGTATTGAGGATTGTTACACCCACTTAAATTATAACTCATGGATTTTTTTTTTCATGTCATCTGTCTTCCATGGCATCACAAACCAATAAACATAGTTAATTGATTCCATGTGTTATAATTTAAGTGGGCGTAGTGCTGGAAAATTACAAATTTTCTAGCAGAGGAGTAAACATTAAGATCATGCACATATTTGAGCAACAAGAAACTGCGGAGAGACAATGCAATTAACCTCCAAAGTCTTCCTCTGGGATTTCACTCTTCACTTCAGCTGTTTCACAATCACCCATCGTCATATCTGGGTCTTCAAATGCAAGACCTGAAATAACAACATGCAATAGGTGATTGGTCAGCATGGAGGAGACAAAGATGCAGCCTTATCGTGCATGTTTCAATTCAAATGTATCTTCACAAATCCAGAACAGTTTCATAAGACCCTGGTCAAATAACCCAAAACATTATCATACATCTATAACAGAAACTTGTTTTATACCAGGTTCTGTGATTGGACTCTTATGCTTGGCCAAATCACTTTCACTCTCCGATTTGTTTCGTCGAAGCATATTTTCTTCAGTGAGACCACACTTTCGGCGAAGGAAAATGTGTTGAGATTTAAGGCTCTTACTGATTTTAGTTAAACGATCACTCTTCAATTTCTCAGCCTGCAACTCACACTTTAGCGATTCCACTTGTTCAAGCAACTTCCGATACAAACCCTCATCAACTCTCTCCTCCAAACACTTGACCAATTTCCTTTCACTCTCCAACACTTGTTCCCTCAACTTGTCTTCCCCTTGTTCAACTTCTCGCGATTTTATTCGCAATTTCTCGTTCAAATCATCAATTTGCCCCAAAACCCGATCTCTTTCCTTCTCGCAATTCTCGAATCTCGCAATCGCCGATTTTCTCTTCTCTTCGCTATCTTTGAGCAAGGACTCCTTGGACTGAACGAGCTCCACCAAGCTCTTCTGCAACGCCATCCCTTCGTCAACCTCGCGCTCCAGCTCCTCAATACGACGACGTTTCGCGATCAAATCCTCCGAAGCTCTTCGGTTCTCGATCCGCAGTTGCTCCGAGATTTTTGATTTGGATTGGAAATTGGGATAGAGCTGAGTGCAGAAAATTTGCTCGATCTGAGAGATCCTGTCTTTGGCTTCTTGAATTGAAGCGACGAGGATGGTGCTGAGGCCAGAAACGAATTTTTCATCTTCGTCGGCGTTTCGAAGGGGTAACCCTAATTTGAGAGAGTGGGGAACACTGTCTACAGCTACCTCTTGTTCCTGCATTGCTGTGTTGAGAGAATCGCAAAGAATGAAGTTACTCTGTGTGTGGGTTTGGTGTCTCTCTCCCGCGCAGGATTTTGATTTTGTTTCGAAAATAAATAAATATAATAATTAATTAAGGCCTGTTTTTCTGGGCACAAACAAAAAAATTATTTGGTATCCACGCTCTAATATTATATGTTTATCTATGTTTTTTTATTTTTGAGTTTATTTTATAAAATCATTCTTATTCAATTTGTTGTTTATAATTACCTTTTTCATATTATTATTATTTTATATCAACACTAATTAACTCTTTGAAGCGAGTAGGTTTCTTAGGTGTCTCGTATCCCCAAAAGTTTCGGTTCTTCAAATCGGCTATTAAATTAATCTTGAGTGTGGGACAAGTCAGAAATTAAGATTTTATATCTTTTTTTTAAGGTGATATTGGTGGAGATTGAACTGAGAATCTTCTATCACCTACAGCTTTTATACACCAACTAATCTACCATCGTATCTTCTCAAATTCCACATGCAGGCTGCAGCCCCATAAAGTGATATAATTAACATTAGTAACGCGTGATAATAAGTAGTCAACCTATATTATTTTGATAAATAGTTTTTAAATTATATAATTTGAATTTAAAAAATAAATAAATCACTTTAATCAATCGTCCAGTTGTGAAGTATACTCCAGAAATTAAAATACATCACTTTAATCAACTCTCTTAATTTTTCAATTAACTAATGTAATTCCATACTTTACCCTTTGAAGTACGTTCTTCAATATAAAGAAGTTGGTTCTTCACTATAAAGAAGTTGAATCTTTGTATTATAAACCAGTTATAACAAAGGTTTTTTTTTTTTTTCAATTTGTTTAGCCTCCAAAGTTCAAATTGAATATACTCAACTTAAATCTTGTAATATATTTTTGTTTGTACTACTTTTAAATATAAATATTAAAATAAAACATATAAGAATTTCAAAAATATTTTTACTTCGCAAGCAATTTTTTATTTAAATTTTTTACAATATAAGGGGATTATTTTGGACCGTCCTAACGAATCTCATAACTTCTATAAGTAATAAACTAGGATAAGTGACAAACATGAGAGATAAGAGATAAGACCTCATATCCTAAGTATAAAAGATAAGGGATACGACTCTTTATCCTATCTCCCAACAATCTGACTTCTACTAAAACTCTTTACCTACATGTAACCCATTTATAAATAAAGGATTAAGCCTTTCAAGTACACATCCTCTAATCCATACTCTCTTAGTTGTCAGTCTGCACATGCTCTCACGTATTTGGCCTTGCGCTTTTGTTATTGTGCACAGTGATTTGCCACACTTTGCGGCGTCTCTTCCAAAGAACACCGCGAGCATACAGATCCTGTATTCATTAGTGACCTTCAGTTATACATTCTCAATCATCTCGGATCAATCATTGTCTTCGTATGTCGAAAACAATAAACTTCAACTCCCAACCTATAATGGTGAACATGCGCAGCGTGGCGAACAGCTAGTAGTGGTCGTCATCGCTGCCACCACCATTATCATCACCACCCGCAAGTGACCAAAGGGGAATCTTCTACAAAATGATCGCGCCAACATGCAACAGTCTGACCACACTCAACCCAGGATGAACAATGTCTACTAAATAAGGCAAACTATGAATAAGTCTCCGCGCAAGCCCAACCCGCCATAGCGTTTAACACAGACAATAACGCAAACATAAACATCCAAGATAAAAGAAGAAGTCTGAGACATGACAATGAAAAGCAAACATCGAAATTAAGGAAAGATAAGACCATGTATAAGTCCAAAATTGTCGTTTACAACCCAAAAAGGGACCTTGTAAAGAAAGCAACAGGATGAATTACAAGTCAAGTTGGCAAATCGACCATTCAATCTTCAACACCTGAAGTTGCAAAAGCTCGTCTTCACCTTGGAAATCTCATTCTTCAGGAAGAGGCATCGACGTGATCTTGCCATCCTCCACGTAGCAAGTGGAGCTTACCCCATCAATAGTGAAGACAGGGTGCAAAACTTGCTAGAAAGACGCCCCAACATTATCCAAGGACGCATCAAGGCCTTCAACTCAACTCTTCTCCACAAACAGGGATGTCTCTATAAGCTTGGCTGCCTCCTTCTCCTTTTTTAAGTCCCTCTGCGCTTTATTTAATTCCTCTTGTGCTTTATTCAAACTCTCCTTAAGCCTAGTCGCCTCAGCCAAGGCATTCTCCTCCTCCTTCTTTAGCCGACCAGCGCCTCAGAATGTTATTGGTTTTTTTTTGGAAAAGGAAGGCATTGGTCTATTTATTAGAGTCGTTGTCGACCTTAAGGGACCTGAAGGCATGTATCATAGAAGCAAGCTTAAGAGGCTCCAGCTCTATTCGAGCAACCTCTCTCTTTGTTGGCTTCCATCCAGAGGGTTGTATTTGGAGATGGCGGTGGGTGGATGAATCACAGCACGAAGCTCGTCAGAAATCCTCTTCTCCCACAGCTCGCTCGTCGGGAGCCTGACTATTTTGGGGTCACTCACCATGACAATGGGATGACGAGGGGGAGATGGCAAGCTGAGATTGGCAAGGGAGACATTGACAGATGTCTGCAAGCACTCGTCCTTTAAGCCGAGGGAGGCCTCCTCAACCTAAAGACCTATCATCTTCTATGATCCAGATGTAGTAAATGAAGCAAATCTCTCAGCCACGACCTTAAATTTTGACTTGAAGATCGCATAACATTAAAGTAATTGGGGTCCCCAAAAATGCTGCAAAATAGAAAATAAATGAGTTAGATGTGGAAAACAAGCATTATAACCAGCGATAGCCACAAAAGTTCCTACTGAATTTTGAATCTACGTCAGCCCCAAACTTATGAATAAGTTTGTCACAGTCCATAACCTTGTGGACCTTGATACGCTTCATGAGGGCGTTAAATGTGGCCCATTCCACCTTCATTATGGATGACTATGTAATTTTGTACCTATGGGACTTGAGATAGTAATTATTCTCCATCTAGTAGAGATGGAACTTTGTGTCCTCCTGCTTCGTCAAGAAACATGGTCTGCAACCCGAATGGACTGACACCTTGAAGTATTATTGTGCAATTTTGCAATCTAATAATAATCACATCTTAACGCACGTGCACGTTGTCAACAAGTAATATAGGATGTGTGAGTTCAGATATCGTTCTCACGAGGAAAACTATAAAGTTGAATTGAATATAAAGCAATAAGAGCGACAAAGATAACAGTTATGAACTAACTAAGCCTAAACTAGGAGTAATGATTAACTAATGATTAAAATAAACAAACATTATTGACTAAATGTAAAAACGCAATAGAACATATTGAGATTCAAGTATTCAAGGTAGATTAGGATCAATTTTTCCAATATTGCAACTTTACCAGAATGCTGGAATAATGCTACAACTAACCTTCATCAGTAAGCAGAACACTTAGTTGTATATAGGGGCTCCTGCCAACCTTACATACATACCCAACCACCAATCCTTATATCCCTATGCAAAATTGTCTATTGCATTCATTAAGTATAATTTCCCTACGGCTATATGGTATGTACCATCCCTGTACCCATAACTTAACTAAACTCAATTGACTTATTTAATCGATATTGTTTAATAAGGATCTGAATTCACCTATATCTCTATAGCCCAAATTCTAAGACACTTGTTGCCCATTCATTGTAAGTCAACAAGATTATGAATGAACACTTTATTAAACAACTAATGGAAAATAACACAGAAGAGTTAGGCATCCATGGTTACATTACAATACGGGTACTCTATCACCCAATCTTAAGTAATTTAGCTCGCGCTTGAAATAAAAGAAACAAAAAATAAAGAAAAAGACTCCATAAAAACTAAGATAATGAAAGAAAGAAGTGATGTTGCAGCTCTGCTCCCGTAACAACTCTACGCACCACCGCCTTCCATCATCTCTAAGCTCGTGGAGAAGTATTGGGATCAATCGAATCCAACGGTCCCTCTATTGTACCCTAGTTTCACCCCTTGACCTGTTAGATTCTTTTCAATGAAGTTTTAGAATTGTTCCTCAATGATTGCACTCTATTTGAGGTGAATGGACTTCTCTTTTTATATGAAACGCTAACTTGGTCGCCGAATAATCTTTGGAATTTGAATTTCCTTAGATTTAGCACCAAAATTCGATGTGAATTTATCATTAAACTCATATTTTTCCTTTCAATTGCTGGAAATTAGGATTAGTTAGGATAGACGTTTATCTCTTTGCATTCACAACCTTCTTATCCTTTATCCAGTGCTGTAGCGCTTTATCTCTTATTTGAATTTAAATTCCAATATTTATCTTCTTAAACACTCCAGTGCTATAGCTAGGGCCGGACAAATGGGCTGAGCCCGCCGGGCTGGCCCGCCCCGCCTGCCAAATGGGGCGGGCTGGGTTGAGTTTTTCAACCCACCAGCCCGCCAGCCCATATGGGTCAGCCCGCCACGGGGCGGGCTAGCCCGCCAAGTCCTTTTTTTTTTTTTAGGTTAACCAATTGTTATGTAGCTCCGTATCTTAGATTTCTCTGCATGCAAGTGGCTTTTTTGAATTGTTATGGACTGCTCATACAACACTTTGTTACTTGTTTTGTTACTCTATTTTATCCTGATATGATTTTATTTTTTTATTATTATTTTTGGATTGAAAGATGCATATTTATATGCAGATTATTAAACACTAATCTTCTTGGTTTCATAAGCACATTAGGATTTTATGCAGATTTTTGTATGCTTTTATGCAAAAAAATTTGTGATTTTATGCAGAATTTAATTTTTTGTATTTTATTTTTATATTTTTTTTATTATTAGGCGGGCTGGCCCGTAGCCCGCCAGCCCACTCATAAAACGGTCCGGGTTACTCAATTCAACCCATTTTGTCAAAACGGGTCGGGGCGGGCCATCCCATTTTAGGCGGGCTAATGGCGGGCCGGGGCGGGCTGGCCCATATTGCCAGCCCTAGCTATAGCATTGTTGTGGCTCTATCCTACTTAATAAATTTCAAAGATAGTGAATTATACTCAAACA